AACCATCAAGTATAGGTATCCAATACCAAGATACGATGATATATTGGATGAACTAAGTGGTTCTACTGCGTTTTCTATGATTGGTCTCAGGAGTTGTTACCACCAAGTACGCGTGAAGGAAGGTGATGAATGGAAGACAGCCTTCAAAACCAAGCAAGGTTTTTATGAGTGGCTGGTGATGCCAGCCATTCGGCCTCACTAAAGCTCCCTTTCACCTTCATGAGTCTCATGAACCAAGTGTTAAGGCCATACATCAGTAAGTTTGTGGTGGTTTATTTCGACAATGTGCTGGTCTATAGCCAAACTCAATCCAACCACATTGATCATGTAGAACAAGTTCTGAAAACTCTAAAGAAGGAATGCCGCTATGTTAACTTAAAAAAATCTGTATTTTGCATTGATCAATTGGTATTTTTCGGCTTTGTTGTTAGTTCATAAGGACTGAAGGTTGATACAGAGAAGATCAAAGCAATCCAACACTGGCTCACTCCAACTACAATCGGACATGTGGCAGTTTCCACGGACTAGCCAGCTTATATCGCCGGTTTGTACAGAATTCAGTACAATTTTTCCCCCATGACCTCTGTGATCAAGAAGAATGTATCCATTACTTGGGTTCTGGCCCCGGAAATATCTTTTAACAAGCTTAAATATAGTTTGACGCATGCCCCAGTCCTTACTCTTCCTAACTTAGATAAGACCTTTAAAATTGAGTGTGATACTTCAGGTGCATGTATAGGTGCTGTGCTCATCCAAGAAGGATTACAGTAGCCTACTTCAGTGAGAAAGTGAGTGGAGCAGCTCTCGATTACCCCACCTACAACAAAGAGCTATATGTTTAAGTGAGATCTCTTGAAACTTGGCAACATTATCTCCTATCTAAAGAGTTTGTTAATCATACAGATCATGAGACGCTTAAGCACCTCAAGGGTCAGACCACACTTAAGAGCAGACATGCCAGATGGTTAGAGTTTGTGGAAACCTTCCCTTACGTGATTAAGTACAAGAAGGGCAAGGCGAATGTTGTAGCTGATGCTCTTTCGAGATGACACATTCTTATCTCGACCAAGGAATTTAAGCTCATGGGTTTTGAACATATTAAAAATTCTTAGATACTGACCCTGATTTTCAAGAACCATTCAAGAACACTACTAAGGGAGCTGCCGCCCTTATTATCAACATGATGGCTTCTTATTTCGAGAAAAGAAGTTATGCATTCCGCAAGGTTCCATGAGAGAATTGCTGGCTAGCGAAGCCCACAGAGGGGGTTAATGTGACCCTTGGCCGGGGTAAGACCCTGAGTGTCCTCACCGACCATTTCTTTTGGCCAAACATGAAGAGAGATGTCAAGAACCTTTGTGCCAAGTATGTCGTCTGCCTTAAAACCAAATCCAGATCACACATGTTTCGTTTATACATGCCATTACCTATTTCTAACCACCCTTGGGTCGACATTTCTATGGACTTTGTGTTGCGCTTGCCAAATATAAACCAAAAGAACTTTATTTTTATATTGGTGGACAGGTTCTCCAAGATGGCTCATTTCATTGCCTGCAAAGATGCAACCCAAACAATAGATCTCTTCTTTAAGGAAGTAGTCCTCTACATGGTGTGCCGAGGAATATAGTATCTGATCAAGACTTCAAGTTCCTCAGCCATTTCAGGAGGAATCTTTGGGGTAAACTCGGTACCAAGTATTTATTCTCAACCACTTGCCATCCCCAAACTGATGGGCAAACAGAGGTAGTAAACCGTACACTATCTCAGTTACTGAGAGCTACGGTCTGTAAGAATTTGAGAAATTGGTTGTCTTGTCTACCATTTATAGAGTTTGCTTACAACCATGCAAGGCACTCTGCTACTAACATGTCTCCATTTGAGGTTGTGTATTATTTTAATCCAGAAACCCATGTTGTTCTCATTGACTTGCCACAAGCCATGTTTCACAGCTAGGAGGGTTCATCAAAGGCTGACTTTGTTAGGAAAATCCATCAAAGGGCCAATGATCATTTAGAGGAGAAGGCGGCCAAGATCAAGGTATGGGTAGACCAAAATAGAAAGGAGGTGTTGTTTGAACCATGCGATTTAGCGTGGTTACATATGAAACCTAAGAGGTTCCTTGAAGAGAGGAAGTCCAAACTGTCACCACGAGGGACAGGGCCGTTCCAGATCCTAGAAAAGATCAATGAAAATGCTTACAAGCTTGATCTTCCAAGTGAGTTTAATATTTCCCCCACGTTCAATGTGTCTAGTTTTCTTCTTTTCAATGCAGATGATGTTGTTCTGAGGTTAGAACCTGTTCAAGAGGGAGGGAATGATGTGGCCATTCAAGTAGAGATTCCCATAATTAGACATGGTCCGGCGACACAGTCCGGAGCTCAAGTCTTAGGAGAATGATTTTCAAAGACTATCCAAGAAATCATAAATCAAGATGGGGGAACTGACCAGAACCAGCTATTGATTGAAGAGATGGTCCAATTGAAGATTCATGACCAGACCGGCCCAATTGAGGTTCAAGATCAAGCTAGTCCACTTTAATTCAAATCCCTCGCCTAGAACCGAATCGGTCTAATCATCTCCATATGCAATCTTGGTACAACTCCAATCCCAACTCCATCCGGTTCGAATGGCTAAGTTCCTGGTCCAGAAAAGGTGAGAAGGTAAGATTTCAATTATGATTTCTAAATGGTTTCTTGTTTTTGGTTTGTGTTGGTTTTCTTTCTTTTAATTTATAAAAACTTATGGGCAATTTGTTGACTCTTTGAATTTAGATTAAGCACAATAATACAAGGCCTTTTGTTAGCCTTTGCCTTAGAGTTCCAGTAGAGTCCATCCCTTTTTGTTTTGGCCTTTTTGCTTAGAATCCATGTTGTTTTTGTTTCAAGTCCCCTAGAAAGGCAAAGCTTCATCGGGTATTTAAACCCATTATAACCAGCCGTGTATTTTTTTACTTAGACAATATATGAGCCATTTTGCCCCCTAGCAAAACCCTAAAGCCTTTCTTGTTTGTGTTGACACCAACCAGAGAGCAAAGTTCAAATCTTATCAAGTTCCAACCATAGAACATATGACGATTCTTCACTTCATTCCACCCATCGATCTAGCTTGAGAGAGACACACGTCCAGCAAACCAGATTCCATCTTCATTCATAAATCCATCCACTGATCTTGTTGAGAGAGACACACGTCCAACAGCAACAATCCCATCTCTCATCTCTATCTCCTTGTTTTGTTATTTACATTCATATCGCATATCATTCTCAAACCATCTATCCATCTAAGTATTCTTCCATTCGATCCATCCATCATCATTAGTTCTTATTTCATCTTGTTTAAGTTTTTGTTTCTGTCATAATAAATTCATAAAAACTCATAAAAATTATCTCTTTTGTCCCAGGTACAAATCGTATCAAGCAAATCCATCGCCCTCATCCATCCGACCATATCAGAACCATCCAAAGTTGAACCTCAGATCGACCAAACTTACAGTCTGATTTTCATATTGTATCAGATTCACATGTATCTTGGAGATATTCACACTTGCACAGAAAGAGGTTGCTCCAGAAGTTAATACACTGCCAAAAATAAACAATAAGCGTCGTAGTCATTCAAAAGATATTGGGCTTGATTGATAGAGCATTGACATAAGCATTATGCTCTCTATTATCCAATCAACATCTGTCAAAGAAGCATTTAGAAAAACATTTACCAAATGCAAATGCTCTCCAAATACTATTTGCTCAATGCTCTCATATAGAGTTTTTGGGAGAGTATTTGCAGATAGAATATCTATAACTTAAAATAATTATATATAAATTATTTATTTTTGTTTAATAATATAAAATATCTTATAACGAAAAATAAATTTATATTTTTAATAATAAGAAAAAATTATAATTAAATATTTTAAATTTTTTTCAAAGAACAATACTTTACATTTAAAATATAATTTATATAATTACACCTATCCTTCATTATTTTTAATAACAAACATAACATAATATATATAAACATATTACTTAGAAACGTATAAATAAATTATATAACTTTTTTTTTTTTTTTTTTTGTGCACGGAATAAATTATATAACATATATTAATTTTTATGATAATTTTATATATTAATCATTTACTGCTCTACCAATAAATAAATAATAATTTATGTATAAATAATACATCATTTATTTATTTATTTAATAATATTAAAATATATTTCTATCCAAAAATAATTAAATATTTTTAAAATAAATTTTGCATTCCGTAAATATAATTTATATAATGAATATGATTCATTATTTTTAATAAAAATATATAATTAATATATATTATAAATATATAAATATTATTTTAAAAAAATATATATTATTATACTAACTATTATGATAATTTTAAAATTGTATACTACTCTACCAGTCACTTTATTAAAAATTCTATTCTACCGCATACAGCTACTGCTTTACGATCTAATGTACCAATCGAGGTCATTGATGGACACATAAAAGGTGCAAAATAATTACTTTATTTGATTAAACCTCGTATTTTATGTTGCCTATAATATATCAGATTAGGACAAAATATCAAAGATAATGGTAATTAAGTAAGTATTTTAATTTAATTACAGCAAACAATAAAAACGACTAAAATAGGTTGAAAGTCCTAAGGAACGAGAGGTCCTCAAAACTTATTCCATACACGTCTGAGTTTGACCATATCAATTTCAAATACAGAAACCCTAAATTTGCTCATGAGTCTATTTGCTAAATTCTAATATAAGTCCTAAACCTTCTGTAGATAACTAATCTTAGCCATCTTCAAATTTAATTATTCAAACACACAAGAAAAGACCAAAGGCTCTCCATAAAACTCGGAATCATCTTCATCTTTATAACCCTGACTTTGTTTTTCATTTGTTCCATCCTCGGGTCGAGAACAATAAATCAAAGAGACAAACTTACACTCCACAGCCTACACCCAACCAAACCAACAAAACTATAAATAAATAATGGGTGGCTGTGCGAGTAGACCCAAGGAATCAGACATGAAAAACGAAGAAGGCTCTGTTCCTAACAAGCCTGTTTCTGAAACCGTTGTAGTAGAGGAGAACAACACAGAAGCAAGTAGTGAGAAACAGAACCAGGCAGAGACTGAAACAACTTCTGTCGAAGCTAAAGAGATATCTGAGGTCGAGCTGACCAAGGAAACATCTCATGCTTCTGAAGCAGAGGTTGCAGCAGCCGTTGAAGAGTCATCTTCTGCTGGTGAGGTTGCAGCACCTGAGAAGGTGGAGACCGTAGTGGCTGCAACAGAAAACGCTGAAGCCGCTGTGGAGGCGGTTGTTGTTGCTGCACCGGAAAAGGTTGAGGTTGCCGCGAAAACGGCCGAGGCTGAACCAGTAAAGGATGAAGTTAAAAAGGAAGAGAAAGAAGCGGTTGTCACTGTTTGATTGGTTAAATCTTTTGAGAATATTTTGAATGTTGTTGTATACCACCTTGATTTGATTTAATAACTGATTTAAACGTCTTTGTTTGTTCTTTGTATTTCGAAATGATTATTATTTGGTTCAGTTAAATATAAATCAGTTTTTTTTTCAGTTTCATATATAAATCAGTTTTACCTCATGGAAATTTATAACTAACATTTCTTTAGCTGATTTGCTATTTTTGGGTTTGAATAAGATTTAAGCTTCTTTTCTCTATTGAAGGACAATTCGTACCCAAAAATTAAAAAAAAAAAAAAAGAATTATCAGTGTTTTTGTAACAAAATAAAAAAAATCATGAAATCTTAAAATCTGTATGTATACAACATTAATTCATAGATTTCAATCTTAAAAGTAAATGTGAATCCAAAATCATCAAAATTTAGGATAAAGTATTTAAATATAATATTCAAATCAGTACATACTAACATGTTAGAATTTTTTTTTTTTGTCATCTACCAACAAATACAATAAATAAAAGAAAATGTCCAAATAACAAACAAGATAGTTAGGGTCAGATCGCAAAACCCAACAACAAAAAATCCCTTGCAAGAAAAAAGCTCAAGACGACAGTTCATGACAATACATTAAACACAAACAGTAAATGAAAGTGTGGCGGAAGAGCAGATCATCCTTTTCTTCACCAAATCGAAGTTGATGCCCGAAGTTTAACTGGAGATCCACAAGAAACACACAGGAACATAAGACTCATGAAAGGAGCAACAAGACACTGTCAAAAACCTATAGAAGTTGTGAAAGAAGTTCTTGTCTATTTCTCGATGGAAGGCAAAGTACATGTACAGGTCTACAACGTTAAACCTAAGTACAAACTAATAGGCCATTATATGGGCCTCGGAGACCCAATACCTCCGCTTAAGGTGGAGTGTGGAGATCACAAACACCCAACTTGAACAAAAATTCCTGAAACTCTTTGCATCCTAAAGCCTTCGTGATGATATCTGCAAGCTGAGACTTGCTGGAAACATGCTTCGTGGCTATGACTCCACGAATGATCTCATCGCGAATAAAATGACAATCCATACCGACTTGTTTCGTACGAGCATGATAAACTGGATTTGCTGCAATTTTAATCGCAGAGAGACTATCAGAATGCAGAACAACAGGTGCAGAGCAGTCGATACCCAACGCTGGGAGTAAGTCTCATATCCAAAGTATTTCACAAACTGTGTCAGCCATAGCTCGATATTCGGCTTCAGCTGAAGAACGCAAGACCCTGTCTTGTTTAGTCGTTTTCCAGGACAAAGGAGAACCACCCAGTTGGATGAACCATCCTTCGTCATGATATTGGAGTTTTATGATATTTTCTGGGAATTGAGGTAGCTAGAAATCCTTCTGGGATGTATCTTTGCCAACGCAAGTACGCCTTTGATGGACTTCCCAATCATGAAAGACAATTTTCTGAAGGAATGCTCGTATGGTGACCATCTTAGCAACTGGAGCGAATGTTTCATTGTAGTCAACACCTTATGTCTGGTTGTTTCCAAGAACTACAAGTCTCGCTTTGTAAAACGGGAAAGAGTCCCATCAGCATTGAATTTAAGTTTAAAAACCCATTTACAGCCTATAGCTGTCTTCCCTGGTGGTAGCGTTACTGTCCACGTTCAATTTTCTTCACATGCTGTAATTTCGTCAGTCACTGCAAGCCTCCAATTCTCATCAAGAAACGCGACCTTATAGCAAGAAGATACGCTTGGTATGTACTTGAGAACTGAAAACTAGCGAGATAGTTGTCCAAAGAATATGGAGTTGCATATGGATATGGCGAGTGTAGTAAAGTTGTGACGAAATCAGCAAGTTTCATGGGAGCTTTCTTTAAGCGATGACCTCGACCCAGAATTTCAATGTCTGGTGGAGCATCATGTATTTGAGAGGCAGTATCTCTAACAGCAGATGGTGACGAAGTAGGTAAAATGTCTGCTGGTGTAGTAGTCACTTGTGGCTGAGGCAACGAAGCTTCATCAACAGTAGGATCTACAGTGGTTTCAGAAACAAGAGCAAGAACTGCAGGTGTCTCAGCAGTATCAACTGCAGGTGTCTCAGTAGTATCAACTGCAGGAATTTAGGTAGAAGATAATGCAGGTTCAGGAGAGTTGATGATCGTAGTAGTGTCATCTCTCATTTGTCCATCTAAATCATCATCGGCCTGAGACAAAGGACGCGAAAAATCTGAGGCAGACGCAGGCGAAGTTGATGGGGCGGTTTGAGCAAAAGGAAACTCAGATTCGTTAAAGATCACATCGCGTGAAATGGTAACGATGTCAGTGTTAAGATTGTAGACTCTCCATCCCTTTTTGCTGAACAGATAGCCTATGAAGACCGAACGATGACCACGTGATGCAAACTTATCACCGCCGTGCTTCTGGTTGTACATAACATAAACAACCAAATACTCATAGATGGGCCAGAGGAGGAGGTATGTTGTAAACGAGCTCGTATGGCGTTCTTCCACCAAGGAGCTTAGTAGGAGTTTGGTTAATTAAATAACCAGCAGCAAGAGCACAATAACCCCAGAACTCAACGGGTAAATTACCTTGGAAACGCAAAGCTTTAGCTGTGTTGAGAATGTGACGGTGTTTCCGTTCAACTCTCCCATATTGTTGTGGAGTCCCAACACATGAGGTCTAATGAACAATGCCATTCTCACAAAAATAATCAGTGAGGCAAATGAACTTAGAACCATTGTCACTTCGTATCGTTTTGACACGAGTGGAGAATTGTCTTTCGACCAGAGCCAAAAAATTCTTAAGATGAGTAGGAGCTTCTTTCTTATTTGGTAGTAAGTATATCCATACGGCACTAGAATAATCATCAAGGATCGTGAGAAAATAAGTAGAACCACATAGAGACCGAGTATGATACGGACCACAGATCGCAGTGGATTAACTCAAATGCAAAACTTGTCTTATTAAAACTGGATGGAAAAGAATCTCGTGTTTGCTTCGCACATATACAAATATCGCAAGTTTTGGAATCAAAAACCGAGCTACTCAAATCAGAAAGCTTCAACATCTCCAAAGCTTTAGAAGAAGGGTGGCCCAACCGACGATGCCAGACATCCGCAGCCGTATCAGAAACGCCTCGAATCGCAGCTACAACCTTCATGCCTCTAAAGAAATACAGCCCATTCTGCTGTTTACCCATTCCAATCAGCATCGACGTGATGCGATCCTGGACAAGATACAACTTATCAGTAAGTTGAAACAGACAACCACTGTCTCTTGTAAGCTGAGAAACCGAAATTGAATGACAATGAAGACCATCCACGAAATAAACATCACTGAGAGTGATGAAAGAACCCAACTGAACATGACCAGACTTGGTAGAAGTAGTAAACTGTCCGTCAGGCAATTTTATAAGAACTGGTTGCATATCAGAAATATCCATCAAAAAATCTAAAGAACCAGTCATGTGATTTGTAGCTCCAGAATCAACTATCCAAGATTCAAGGAATATCTTACCAGAGAATCGATCAAACGGATTCTGTTTGCCTTCATCCAACATGTGAACCAAAGTTTTCCACTGAGCATCGCTTAACCCACTGAGACCAACACGATCTGCTGCTGTTAACTCCGTCGTCGGCGTAGAAGAAGCACCGACATTATTGACACGAGATGAAGCAACTGCTTTCCCTTTGACAGAGTTTGTAGGTGTGTTCCGAGACCCTCTGTTGGAGCTACCTTGACGTTGCCGTTGCTTCTCTTCCCACCACTTAGGATAACCAATCAGCCGAAAACAATTTCAGCAACATGTCCGGTGCGACCACAGTTTGTGCACTGAACAGAAGTTGCTTTGTTATCAACGTAATGAGACTCATGTCGTGTGGTGGTCTGAACAGAGAAACTTACTCCATCAACAAGATCTGCGTTCATGTGCCCTAGCTGTTTTGATTCCTCGTCTTGGGATAATGCACTATACGCTTCATCAAGAGCCGGTAGTGGAACTCTAGAAAGTAGAGCCGATTTGATAGGACCATACTCTTTTTCGTCAACTCCCATAAGGAACTGGTGAAGTTTATCCTCCTCTCTTTCTTTCCTTACTTCTTCCATTGTCTTGGCCTGTTGGTAGTCAGCCATGCTTCTCCACAACTGTGTCAGCTTCTCGTAGTATGCCTTTATGGCAACCTCTCTGACGACATGTGGCCAATTTGGTTTTGAGTCTCTGTACCCGCTGACCATTCTTAACGCCAAACCATCACCGAATGTGAGACCAGAGCTCGTGAGCATCATCAATATGAGACATCGAAGTGGAGATGTTCTCATCAATAGTCAACTTCATCCAAGAAACCACAAGTGCATTATTTGCAATCCAATCTTCATGATCAGGAGAAGTCTCATCAGGTTGTGGTATGGACACGTCAGCAAATCCAAACTTCTTTCTTGCTTTCAAAGCCAATCGGAGATTTATGTTCCATTCGTCGTAGTTAGGTCCACACAACAATGGCTTTGAAATCAGCGTACCAGGATTGTCACTAGAGCTCAAATCGTAGGGTGAGATTGTATGGTGAGATTTTACGACGCTTCTGATTCGTCTGTGAACCTGTATCACCCATGATTTTGTTTTGAGAACGGTAAAAAAAGCGGATTCGAGATCACAAGATCGTAACAGCAACCTTGAGAAGTGAGATTACTGCTCTGATACCATGTCATAAACCTATAGAAGTTGTGAAAGAAGTTCTTGTCTATTTCTCAATTGAAGGCAAAGTACATGTACAGGTCTGCAACGTTAAACCTAAATACAAAATAATAGGCCATTATATGGGCCTCAGAGGCCCAATAGACACCACAGAACTCGAAATCAGTAGCCAGCCGCAACAACGTTTCAATGAGTTTCGCTTCGATCAAACCAAAATCTAATAAACCAGATAAAGTCGATATTGATCAAAAAACCATCTTTAAAGATCTCGAATATGGAACCAACAAAACGAGAAAAGATCTCAGTGATCGAA